GATCTTAAGGCCAAGTGCGTATCTTGGAAACACTGTAAGGAAAAAGTTAATTATTTTTGTATGACGTAATCTATTAAAAATAAAACCTTTTTGTTATGGACTTTGTGATTACATCTTAGGATGCTAAAGGTAAATAGCTGAATTAATTACCTTGAAATACTTTCATGGCTCTTTGATCATCAGAAATTGACAATTTGTGTAATAACAAAATTTTTTTGTAGGCTGTATAAAACTGCATTGGAGTCTCGTCCTAATGGTTCTGGACCTGTAGAGTTGTTAGATTTGAGAAAGTATGGGTATGGCCATAAGTTTATCTGCAGAGCTCCTGAACTCCCTGAAATAGTGAAGTAAGTTAAATTAATAATTTAAGGACCAACTTTTTTTTTGTTGGATATTCATAATCAAAATACAGAACAATTGTAGAAAAATTTACTTCTACTCCTATTTAATTCATTAATGCCACTCTTTAGTAACTGCACTGTATACAGAAAGCATAACTTCAGAATGTTTTTGTTTGTACTACTTCCTACTTTTCTTGCATATTTCAAATTCAACAAATGTGGATGAAAGCAAGTTGAAAGCTTTAATAAAGAATATCAATAAGAAAGTGTCTACAGAAACATATTGGCATAACAAATAGATCAGCAAGATATAAAACAACAGATTGAAATAAGTTTCTTTATTTTAGATGCAAAGTTTAGATATCTGAAAATTTTATTGACCAATATTCTCCTTCATTGTTTTTTAGGAGAACTGGCATATTAGTTTTGTTTGTTTTTTTACAGAGACTACTTTGAACAGTGCATACATGGTAGAATAAAACAGTGATGTCTTGATATCTGGAAAGCTGCAGGATGATAGTTTCTGCATTTTTATATCGTTGATTGAAAACTTACAAAGTTGAAGTTTTATATGCTGGGGAGTTGATATTACTACAGTAAAATTGTGATGAAGCCAATGTGGTTTTTTAAGATTCTTACCTTGGATAGCATTTTTATATGCTTACTGTGTTTGGATATTGCAGTATTAGAAATGATTTCTACTAGTCTATGTTGTATATTTTTACATTTCCAAGATGATAATAAAATATAACTTAATCCCAATAACATGAAGTACAGGCCACACAATATAGTTGAATTTTTAAATTGAAATTTTCTCTCAGTTGCAGTTGGCTGATACAGTATTTTACTTCTCTTTAAGTTGTTAATTGCAGAATTGGAATTTGCATGCCAGGAAGTTATTGTAATGAAATATTAATTTTACTTTAGCTATCGTGTACTATTAATTTAATACTCTGTCAAAGCACTTTAAATAGAATTTACAAAATGAAAATAATATGAGAAGAGTTCCAGTGTGATCTGAATGTTGTAACTCGTTTGTCAGTTAATTTCTTAAAACTTCTGTGAATGAAGTAGAGAAAATGATAGTGTTGCAATTTAATTAAAATGGTTTATATGTGTGAGTTTATTGAATTGGGATTGTAGATTGCAAATTGGTTTGTTGAATTTGAAAATTACCAGTGCATTTTTCTACTCTGCCTCTCCAAGGCCTATACTTCATAGTGGCATTATATCGGTATTTTGCCGGCTTCTTGGTCGTGCCACTAGATGCCACAATGATTACAACCCGAATCCAGTACTGCTATCTATGTTCTCGATTATGCGACATCTAGCGAACCGCCAGCAAAAAAAACACATAAAAGAGTGAACATAATGCCACCGTGAAGTACGCCTTGGGGCATTTTGAGGGCAGAGTTAGAAAAATTGCATGTGCAGTCTTTTGTGACTGTAGTGTATGGTGACATGACCTGTCGTCTGGAAATTGACATCATTAAGCATTAATAAGTCATTATGTTACTAAATGTTAAATTTTCATTTTCTTGAGTATTTTGTTTCATTTCTCGGTGGTTTCTAATTTCTGAGATAAATAAGATGGTGATTTATGGCTATGGTCTTTTAAAATGGGTAATAAAATGTTTTTCAAATTATTGTGTTGGCAAAAAAAGTTTGATAATTAAGGCTTGGACTTTAGGTAAATACATATTTTTTCTCCCTTAATCTGAGCATTGAAAGTTAAAGTGAAATTTCTCAAATAGCTCCCGTGTAGTTTTTCATATATCAAATTTAATTTTACACCAAAAGATAAATATTTTGTCAAAACACATTATTTCCTACATTAATGTGAAAAATGAATATTTTTGAGTATTTTCAAGTCACACATCACTTGTTCTTGGGATGGAGGCTATTATCAGCAATTACTGTCACTTCGGCATGGATACCGCAAGCAATACATACTCGTAGCACGAATAGCTCTTGCACTTCCTCGTATCTGCACCAGACCAAATTTCAGAGTAATAAAAAGAGTATGACTTCAGGTTTTTTACTTTCAAGTCTTCTCTTGATCTTCTGTACGGTTTTCATCTGCAGGAAAAAAAAAAGTATTATTATTTTAACCCACATTATTTCACTTTTTAAGCACATTAAAAGTGATTTTTAGCACTAAAAGTCTGAGCCCTATTATAATTCTCATACCTTCACAATTGTTGTAGATGAAAAACAAATAAATTTTGAAGTTAAAACATCTCTTTAATATATGTGAAATGTAGGAAATAAATTGCGGTACTGATCATGGTGAAAAATGACCTTTTCTTGAATTTTTGGGCAGATCCTATTTTCTTATATGCTGTTGTTTTGAACTTTTAAGAACATTTATTCAAGGAACATATTTGAACAAATAATAATATTATATAACAGATAGTGTGACCAGTACTCGTGTATTATCCGTACAGAATACAAATTTGCCAAGAATGTTTCTAAAGTTATGATAGTGTAGATGCTGTTTGCATTGCCTTCAAACAAGTGCAAGTAGGAGCTGGGTCAATTATTCTTTGTTTGTTCTTTTCTGATTTTTAATTAAGGACCTGTTGTGTCAGAAGCATTGTGTCAAACGTGCCTTAGGGAAGAGAGAGAGATAGAAAAAAAGTTCTACTATCATCATTTTAGTCTAAATTCAAAAGTAGTATTTGATAGGCTAATGGTGCTTTTATTTATAAATTAGATTCTGCTATAAGTTGAAATATTTAACCTTCACATATAAATAAAAATTTTTACAGAACCAACTTACAACATAAAGGTTAAGAATGCAATTGTTACTGGGCAAAACTTGTCATGGCAGTTTGAATATAATGCATTTTAGGCCCTTAGCCCAATGTATTTTTCATTGAATTTGCAATGGAGGTTGTTGGTGTACCTGTCTGATGCATTTGGTGTACTTTGCATAGTTGTTGCATTTCAGAAAATAATTTGTTCGTATTATTTGCCCCTAAGACCATCATTAATGGCATTTTAGTTAAGTGTAAATATGCAGCTATTTTTGCACAGTAAAATCTACCACATAGATTACGATTGGAACTTTCCTAGAGCTGATCTATATAACAAAATGTTAAGATTTTGAATACTTTTCATTAGTAAACTCCACTATATCAACAATTATAAGACAATGATTTACTAAGTTATCATACTATTCTCCTTCCTTACGCAAAACAATTCACCTCCTTGTGCATCTATTGTTATATCTCATATTAAAAATAGCAATCACTTGTTGATACATTTATGTAGGCTTAGGAGCTCAGTGCTATAATAGGTTCCATGCTGAACATTTTTAAGATTTTTGAAAATGGCTGAGATCATATTTTGCAGTCCAATTTGAGAAATTCCATTCAAAAATGACCTTAAGGCTTGTTAGTTATTGAGAACTATTGTCATTATTATCACATCCTGAAAATGACAAGTTATAAATATATCTCTTGAAATTTGGTTCCTATTTCTTATTTTAAATTAAGATTCTATATATACATATTTTGCTCATATTTCTAGTCTTCCAAAGTAAACCCCTTTTCTACATTCCAAATTTATGTTAATTCAGGAAGTAATTTTGAGTCTCTTAAATACTCTTGGATAAATGTATACATTACAGCATTTTATTTAGAGAAAGTTCTTTTATTCTAGATGATATGTCAGTATGGTAGCTGGAGGAAACGAAACACATTGCTTGTGTATATAAGCTCACTAAAGAATGTTCTTGGATTAAAACAACACAATAAGAAATAATTTAAGTAACCCTCAAAAAACCCTTTGGTATATATAATATTTGAAATTAGTTTTAAATCATTACTGTCTGAATTCTATTTCTCAAGCTGTGTTTGAGATTGTGGTATTTAATTTCTGCTTATTTTTTTCTGTTACAATTATTATACAATTTTTTGTTTATAATTGGCTTGACAAAACATTTAGCTTAAAAGTATGATACACCATCTAAATAAATTTTCCCACAAGTCTTATTTTTCTTTGTTAACTTCCGTACAGTATAAAATAAATATTTACACCTATAACAAAATTGTCTTGTAACTAATGATACAAAAAAAGTTACATACCAAATTTTTTTTTTTTATATCACTTAATTTCAAATTGCAAAATCTTACAAGATGATAATGTGGACCTTTACATTGTCACATTTATTTTTAGAAAAGTTGTTTTGTATCTATAATTTAATAAAAAAGAAAGAGTACAAAAATACCACTGTATTACTAACATTTTTTCTTGCTTCATTTATTAAAAATCATCTAAAAATCAGTTGGCAGACAAAATTATGTGCGAACGAGTACCCGTAACCGCCAAAGCGCGCCGAGCGACAGCGGCCGATCGGCGCGCCACCACTTCAGCGAGCCTATCCGTATATCACCACCCACAGCGAGCTCAACTCACATATGTAATGACCATTGTCAGCCACCAAGTCAAGATCCATCGCCGAAACAGCCCCCTAGATTTTCCCGTCTACGTGCGCAGATCTTCGGGCCTCCGCCCTCATAAAGACATGATCAAGACTGTGGCACCACACTCGCACCCGATAGTATCAACATAGTACACACGACAGCGCACCTGTCGCTCAGAGCGCTACCCCGACAGTGGGTATGTGACTTGTTCTGAATAAGACAGTCATCTTGGCTTTGATTGATTTTATTCTTTAATTGCAAGACACTGTCATGCTATATACAGCCCCAACCTTTTTTGAAATTGTTTACAATTCTCAAATAGTTTGAAAATGTGTAAAATGAGTTCTTAATGTTGGATTATTGTTGGGGACCATTCACATGAAAGGGAGTGACGGACCAATAATCTGTGAAGATAAATTGTCTAAACAATTTGTTGTGGGAAAGAATTATTCTTGGAAATGTTAATGAGAAGATAATTATCGCGTCAAATATAATTACTGGAGTTAATCCTTTCATACCTAAAATACTATAGATAAAAAGGCTTAAAGCTTAAAGCACGGATAGCAAATGTTCACAAGGAATAAGTAGAAAGTATGTATTTATTTTTGTAATTTCTGTTTAAGGCTCAGAAGATATAATCTATCATGTGTGTTGTATGTTAAAAAAGTTTCGAAAGTGTTGCTATGGGTTGCAAGACTTTATGAAGAGAAGGTGTTATTATATTTGTCGAAGAAAGTTGATTTTATAATAATCTGGTTGTAATTATTGCAGATCCAACAGAGAAAGACACGATGAAAATGGCATGCTTCGTGAAAATAGCAATTTAAATTATTGGTATGTATGGCCCAAAATAAGAGAAATTTCATTATGGAAAAAAGGAGATTATATTCTTTATTTTTTCAACTGGCTGTTGGAGACCCTGCAAAGAACGAAAATTGTGTTAGGTAGTGTGCCTCTTCTTGTTGCAGTCATAGTTATAGTTGATTTTTCAATTTTTCCAGTAGTGCCAAGGCTGTTTTCCTTCTCTTTAAAGAAATTTCGTTAATTTATTTTTAACAAATGTGTTTTAAAGCTGTAAACACAAGCAAGAATTGTGCCAAGCGAAAACTTTTTAGACTTACCATTTTGTATTATTTTTATCACGAATGTATTTGTATTTTTCAATATGTAGAATGAGAAATGGTTCTTAAACCTATATTTTGGTGCTTTACCGGAGTTTTGATGTATTTAATATTTTTATTTGCATGAGGTTGAATATTAAAATTGGTATCTGAAACTGTTTTTCAAAGGTTTCACAGGATTTTACTTCATTAACTCTCAATCCCCACCACAATTGGCTTCCATAAGAATGTTCAGAAAGGAAGGTATAGCATTTCCTCAGATGTAGTGAAAATGTACAAATATCTCAAGAATAATGTGCACTGAGAATTTTTTTCTCTGGACTGACAACCTTTGCCAAAGAAAGTTTCATTAATGTAGTGTTCCATGGTTTAGGTGTATGAACAAAGTTACGCTCACAACACTGATCCATTTTGCTTTCATCATTGGGACAATCAATTGATGTTTGTGTAAAATAATTTCACCTTTAATGTTTTAGAGTAATAGTACATTACTATGTTATTGTTACTAAAAATTGCGTCTAGGCATATTTTATTAAGAGGACTTTTGAAAATACCCAATTTGAGCTTACTTGTTAATTTGTTTACTGCAAAAGGAAAATGGAATCATTATTGTGAACCTTTTTACAGGTGGATATACATACTAAAGTATATGTATGTATTATTATCGGATTGTTCACATATTATGTTTAGAGATGCTACTGTAATGAACAAATTAAAAGTAACATTTATGAAGTGAACAGCAATTGACACTGAAGTTCAATAAAAGCATGTATGCGAGCCATAGAGCCTGATCATCAGAAAACATATAAGTTGATGTTTATTATTAAGAAAACCAATAATGCACCTGTAAGTACCCCATGAATAACCCAATGAGTTGGGTTTTCTATTTCATGGTGCTGCAGCTGCATACGTTTAAGAATGATGTCAAGGGCTTCTGTCACCAGACATGCAAAGCTCCGCCGGCTCTCCAAGCACCGCTCTACATCCAGTTGTGTGTTAAGGCGGAGGTTGAGGGGGTTTGTATGATATATGGGTCTCCTCAGGGCTTAGCGTGCCAGTGGAATTGCCACTTCACTGGAGCTCTGACAAAGGACCCGGATAGCCAAAAAAACATGTATTTCATCATGGTACTGAGGTTGGTGAATTGCGTTTAGGGAGAGGGAGTTGTTAAGATAATAATATTTAACTAAATACTACAAGATGATGCTATCATGGCAAACACCGTTAAAGTTCTACTGGGGAATATGAATTCTCCTACATACCCGCTGCAAGAATAGAACCTAATTACCTCTGCTATACTGTTTTAAGGCTTTGGGACATTATTTGCTGTTGCTCAAATTAAATTTGGATAATAAATAAGGATCTAATTATCACTCTTAAGATGCTCATCGTGGAAGGCTGAAGGCCCTACGCTTGCCGCTATCTTAGACATAGTAACAAAGTGTTATTCTTTGCAGCCTAGGATCTTAGCCTATCATATTTTACATGGCTAATCTCTCCTCTGAATTAATTACCTTGAAATACTTTCATGGCTCTTGATCATCAGAAATTGACAATTTGTGTAATAACAAAATTTTTTTGTAGCTGTATAAAACTGCATTGGAGTCTCGGCCTAATGGTTCTGGACCTGTAGAGTTTGTTAGATTTGAAGGAAAGTATGGGTATGGCCATAAGTTTATCTGCAGAGCTCCTGAACTCCCTGAAATAGTGAAGTAAGTTATAATAATTTAAGGACCAACTTTTTTTTGTTGGATATTCATAATCAAATACAGAAACAATTGTAGAAAATTTACTTCTACTCCTATTTAATTCATTAATGCCACTCTTTAGTAACTGCACTGTATACAGAAAGCATAACTTCAGATGTTTTTGTTTGTACATACTTCCTACTTTTCTTGCATATTTCAAATTCAACAAATGTGGATGAAAGCAAGTTGAAAGCTTAATAAAGAATATCAATAAGAAAGTGTCTACAGAAACATATTTGGCATAACAAATAGATCAGCAAGAATAAAACAACAGATTGAAATAAGTTTCTTTATTTTAGATTGCCCAAAGTTTAGTGATCGAAATATTTTATTGCAATATTCTCCTTCATTGTTTTTTAGGAGAACTGGCATATTAGTTTTGTTTTGTTTTTTTACAGAGACTACTTTGAACAGTGCATACATGGTAGAATAAAACAGTGATGTTTGATATCTGGGAAGCTGCAGGATGATAGTTTCTGCATTTTTTATCGTGATTGAAAACTTAACAAAGTTGAAGTTTTATATGCTGGGAGTTGATATTACTACAGTTAAAATTGTGATGAAGCCATGTGGTTTTTTAAGATTCTTACCTTGTGATAGCATTTTTATATTGCTTACCTGTGTTTGGATATGCAGTATTAGAAATGATTTTTACTAGTCTATGCTTGTATATTTTTTACATTCCAAGAATGATAGATAAAATATACTTAATCCCAATGACATGAGTACAGGCCACACAATATAAGTTGAATTTTTAAATTGAAATTTTCTCTCAGTTGCAGTTGGCTGATACAGTATTTTACTTCTCTTTAAGTTGTAATTGCAAGATGGAATTTAGGAAGTTATTGTAATGAAATATTAATTTTACTGTTGGTTACATAATTTAATTACTCTGTCAAAGCACTTATAAATAGAATTTACAAAATGAAAATAATATGAGAAAGAGTTCCAGTTGATCTGAATGTTGTAACTCGTTTGTCAGTTAATATTCTTAAAACTTCTGTGAATGAAGTAGAGAAAAATGATAGTGTTGCAATTTATTAAAATGGTTTATATTGTTGAGTTTATTGAATTGGGATTGTAGATTGCCAAATTGGTTTTGTAATTTGAAATTACAGTGCAATTTTTCTACTCTGCCTCTCAAGGCCATACTTCATAGTGGCATTATATCATGGTATTTTGCGGCTTTCTTGGTCGTGCCACTAGATGCAACAACATGATTACAACCCTATCCAGTACTGCTATATGTTCTCGATTATGCGACATCTAGCGAACAGCCAGAAAAAAAACACATAAAAGAGTGACATGATGCCACCGTGAAGTACGGCCTTGGGGGCATTTGAGGGGCAGAGTTAGAAAAATTGCTGTGCAGTCTTTTGTGACTGTAGTGATGAATGACCTCTGTCGTCTGGAAATTGACATCATTAAGCAGTAATAAGTCATTTATGTACTAAATGTTAAATTTTCATTTTCTTGAGTATTTTGTTCATTTCTGGTGTTTCTAATTTGAGATAAATTTAAGATGGTGATTTATGGCTATGGTCTTAAAATGTGTAATAAATGTTTTCAATTATTGTGTTGGCAAAAAATGTTTGATAATTAAGGCTTGGACTTTTAGGTAAATACATATTTTTCTCCCTTAATCCTGAGCATTGAAAGTTAAGTGAAATTTCAAATAGCTCCCCTGTAGTTTTCATATATCAAATTTAATTACACCAAAAGATAAATATTTTTGTCAAAACACATTATTTTCCTACATTTAATGTGAAAAATGAATATTTTGAGTATTTTCAAGTTCACACATCACTTGTTACTTGGAATTGAGGGCTATTATCAGCAATACTGTCACTTCGGGCATGGATATGCCAAGCAATAACGTACTCGTAGCACGAATAGCTCTTGCACTTCCTCGTAATGCACAGACAAAATTTTCAGAGTAATAAAGAGTATGACTTCAGGTTTTTACTTCAAGTCTTCTCTTGATCTTCTGTACGGTTTTTCATCTGAGAAATAAAAAAAGTATTATTATTTTAACCCACATTTTTCACTTTTTAAGCACATTAAAAGTATTTTTTTTAGCACCTAAAAGTCTGAGCCCTATTTATAATTCTCATACCTGTCAATTTTGGTAGATGAAAGAACAATTAATTTTGAAAGTAAAACATCTCTTTAATATATTGTGAAATGTAGGAAATAAATTGCGGTACTATATGTGAAAAATGACCTTTTCTTGAATTTTTGGCAGATCCTATTTTCTTACTATGCTGTTGTTTTGACACTTTTAAGAACATTTATCAAGGAACATATTGAAATACATACAGAAAATATTATATAAGCAGTAGTGTGACCAGTACTCGTGTATTATCCGTACAGAATAAAATTTGCAAGATGTTTCTAAAGTTATGATAGTGTAGATGCTGTTTGCATTGCCTTCAGAACAGAGTGCAAGTAGGAGCTGGGTCAATTATCTTTGTTTGTTCTTTTCTGATTCTTAATTAAGGACTTTGTGTCAGAAGCATTGTGTTCAAACGTGCCTTAGGGAGAGAGAGAGATAGAAAAAAAGTTTACTATCATTTTAGTCTAAATTCAAAGTAGTAATTTGATAGGCTAATGGTGCTTTTATTTATAATTAGATTCTGCTATAAGTTGAATATTTAACCTTCAACATATAAAATAAAATTTTTACAAGAAACCAACTTACAACATAAAGGTTAAGAATGCAATGTGTTACTGGGCAAACTTGTCATGGCAGTTTGGAATATAATGCATTTTGGCCCTTAGCCCAGTATTTTGATTTTGAATTGCAATGGAGTGTTGTACTGTCGTGATAGCATTTGGTGCTTTGCATTAGTTGTTGCATTCAGAAATATTTTGTTCTGTATTATTTGCCCCAAGACCATCATAATGGCATTTTGTTAAGTTTTAAATAGCAGCTATTTTGCCAGTAAATCTACCACATGATTCATTGGAATTTTCCTAGAGCGTCTTATAACAAATGTATAAAGGATTTTGAATACTTTCATAGTAACTTCACTTTCAACATGTAAAGACAATGGATTCTACTAAGTTATCTTACTATTCTCCTTCCTTACGAAACATTCCCCCTTTGCTCTATTGTTCGTTCATTTAAAAATAATCACTTGTGATACATTTTGTAGCTTGGGCTCAGGCTTAATAGGTCCATTGTGAAACATTTTTAGATATTTGAAAATGGCTAGATCAAGTAATTATTTCATTTTTGTCCAATTTTGAGAATTCCATTCAAAAATTGATCCTTAAGACTTGTTAGTTATTAGAACTATTGTCATTATTATCATCCTGAAATATGACCAAGTTATTAATATATCTTTGAATTTGTTCCTATTTTTATTAATTAATATGTAAGATTCTTATATACATATTTGCTCATATTTCTAGTCTCCAAAGTAAACCCTTTTCTACATCTCCAATTTATGTTAATTCAGGAAGTAATATTTGAGTCTCTTAAATACTTTGGGATAATGTTACATTACAGCATTTTATTAGAGAAAGTTCTTTTATTCTGAATATGCAGTTGGAAAGTTGGGAAAAGACATGTGTTTGTATAAAGTCACTAAGAATGTTTGATAATACACAACATAAAGAATAAATTTAAGTAACCCTCAAAACTTGGGTATTGAAATATTGAATTGTTTAAATCATACTTCTGAAATTATTTTCACAGTCGTGTTTGGATTGTGGTATTTAATTTTGCTATATTTTTTCTGTTTACAATTTATACAATTTATTTGTTTTAATTGGCTTGAAACATTTCTTAAAAGTTTGAACCATACTAAAAGAATTTTCCACAAGGTTTTTTTTCTTGTTCCGTACCTATAAAATAATATCTGAACCTATAACAAATTGTTTGTAACTAGTACAAAAAGTTAATCAGAATTTTTTTTTTAATGACTTAATTTAAATTGCAATATCTTCAGATGATAATGGACTTTACATTTCACTTTTCTTTTAGAAAAGTTGTTTTGTATTATGATTTTAATAAAAAAGAAATGGGTACAAAAATACCCTTGTATTTACTACATTTTTCTGCTTCATTTATTACATCATCTAAAAATCAGTGTGGCAGAAAATTGTGACTTGTTCTGAATAAGACATTCTATCTTGGCTTTGATTATTTTATTCTTGATGCAAGACACTGTCATGTATATACAGCACTTTTGCTTTGTTACAATTCTCAAATTTAGTTTGAAATGTGTAACAATGAGTTCTTTAATGTGGATTATGTTGGGACCATTCTCATGAAAAGGAGTGACGATACAATAATCATGAAGATAAATTGTCTAACAATTTGTTGTTGGGAAAGAATTATTGCTTGAAATGTTAATGAGAAGATAATTATCGCTCAAATATAATTACTGGAGTTAATCCTTCATACCTAAGATACTATAGATAAAAGCTTAATAGCTAAAGCACGGATAGCAATGTCACAAGTAATAAGTAGAAGTTGTATTTATTTTGTAATTTCTGTTAAGGCTCAGAAGATATAATTATCATGTGTGGTTGTATGTTAAAAAAGTTTCAAGGTGTTGCTATGGGTTGCAGACTTTATGAAAGAAGGTGTTATATATTGTCCGAAGAAAGTGATTTTATAATATCTGGTGTAATTATTGCAGTGCGACAGAGAAACACTGAGTGAAAATGGCATGCTTCGTGAAAATAGCAATTAAATTATTGGTATGTATGGCCCAAATAAGAGAAATTTCATTATGGAAAAAAGGAAGATTATATTCTTTATTTTTTCAACTGGCTGTAGGAGACCCCTGCAAAGAACGAAATTGTTGTTAGGTAGTGTGCCTCTTCTGTTGCAGTAGTTATAGTGATTTTCAAGTTTTTCCAATAGTGCCAAGGCTGTTTCCTTCTCTTTAAAGAAATTTGTTAATTTGTTTTTAACAAATTGTTTTAAAGTGTAAACACAAGCAACAATTTGGTGCAAGGAAAACTTTTTAGACTTACCATTTTGTATTATTTTTTATCAGAATTTATTTTATTTCAATATTAGAATGAGAAATGGTTCTTAACCTATATTTTGGTGCTTTATCGGAGTTTGAAATGTATTTAATATATTTTATTTGCATGAGGGTTGAATATTAAAATTGGTTCTGAAACTGTTTTTCAAGGTTTCACAGATTTTACTCATTAACTCTCAATCCCCACAAATTGCTTCCATAAGAATGTCAGAAATAAGGTATATATTTCCTCAGATGTAGTGTAAAATGTACAAATATCTCAAAATAATGTGCATCTGAGAATTTTTTTCTCTGGATTGACAACCTTGCCAAAGAAAGTTTCTTAATGTAGTTTCATGGTTTAGGTGTATGAACAAAGTTATGCTTTCACTGATCCATTTTGCTTCATCATTGTGACATCAATTATGTTGTGTTAAATAATTTCACCTTTAATGTTTTAAGTAATAGTACATTACTATATTATTGTTACTAAAATTGGTCTAGCATATTTATTAAGAGTACTTTTGAAAATACAATTTGAGCTACTTGTTAATTTGTTTACTGCAAAAGGAAAATGGATCATTATTGTGAACCTTTTTACAGGGTGATATACATATAAAGTAAATTGTATGTATTATTTATCGGATTGTTCACATATTAGTTAGAGATGCTACTGTAATGAACAAATTAAAGTAACATTTATGAAGTGAACAGAATTGAAACTGAAGTTCAATAAAAGCATGTATGCAGAAACATATAAGTTTGATTTTATTATTAAGAAACAATAATGCACCCTGTAAGTACCCCATGAATACACAATGATTTGGTTTTCTATGTCAAGGGCTTCTGTCACCAGACATGCAAAAGCTCGCGGCTCTCCAAGCACCGCTCTACATCAGTGTGTGTCAAGGCGGGGGTTGAGGGGGGTTTGTTGATACAGTCTTCCTCAGGGCTTAGGTGCAGTGAATTGCACTTCACTGGAGCTCTGACAAAGACCCGGATAGCCAAAAACATGATATTTCATCATGGTACTGAGTTGGTTGATTGGTTTAGGGAGAGGGAGTTGTTAAGGGATAATAATATTTAACTAAATACTACAAGATATGCTATTATGGCAAACACCGTTAACGTTCTCTGGGAATGAATTCTCTACATACGCTGCAAGATAGAACTAAATACCTTGGTATACTGTTTAAGGCTTTGGACAATATGCCTTGCTCAAATTAAATTTGGCGTAATGTGTTTAACATAACTCTTAAATGCTCATCGTGGAGGCTGAAGGCCTACGCTTTGCCGCTATCTTAGACATAAGTAACAAAGTGTTATCTTTGCACTTAGTATCTTAGCCTATCATATTTTACATGGCTATGATCCTATTAGCTTAGGCGACAGGCAGATCCAGCTGATCATTGGGGGAGGGGTGGGGGGAATCGTAGATTTTTGCATAAATATGTTTGTTATTACATTGTGTATTATTTATGTACTGTAGATATGATTCTATACAATATTATTGTTGAAATAATTGCATAATTCAAACTTAAATATTTAATCAGTTCTGCTGAATAAAGGAAGGCAAATGAAAACTCTGGCGTTGGGGAGGGGGGCATGCCCCCCCCCCCGGGTCCGCCAGTGTTTCGGGGCACGTTTGTTTTCTCAGTTGGGCTGGATTGTGGTACTGTGGGGATTTCAACATAATTATGTGGCCCTGCCCCCTCCCTGTGGAAAAGAGAATCCATCCGATTTACTTGATGGAATAGTAAGTTGTTACTCAAACACAAATGAAAATTGACACATATTAACAATTAAAATGTTCAACTCCATAAAAGACGTTGAGTTTTTATTCAAATACATTTTTAATTTCCTGCGTACAAAAACACGCTCGCTTTCTTGCGGCTTCAACGATGGTTTTTCAATGCAAGCACGTTCTTTTCCCGGCCGCGGGAGCTCCTAAGGAAGTGCTTACTTTCTTTGTTGCAGTGATTCCGACCGTTTCTCGCTGTAATAGTAATAATTGTAGTAAAGAGAGTCGGCTTTTCCGCGGAATAAAACACTCATTTCAAGTTGCGTGAAGAGGATGAGTTGGTGTAAAAGTTTGGTTACTGATAAAATCAATGGATTTTCACATATGACGAATTAATAGTAATTGACTAAGTCGAAACCCCAACTAAACGAAAGTCAGGGAAAAATATGGTAAAACGCATTGGTGAGTAATTAAATATATTTTCACGAGACAATTATCTCTCCTCCCTCTGACACAAGAGAAATAACAAACATCGTATTCTGGTTTATTGGAAAATCTCAACCCCAATGCGTATCAATCTGTACGGCATTTGTCTGGAAATTCCCATCGTAGTCAAATAATACATTATAGGAAAGACCAAATCAAGTGAGATATATAACTTTTCAGATTCCAGGGGCGGATCCAGAGACGAATTTTGGGAAGGGAAATTCAAAATGTTTTGGTCCAAAGTGCGTCATATAACAGATTTTGTAAAATGTAAGGTTCAGTCGCTCATGGTGCATTTAGATTTTATTCGTTTTAATGATAATCCAAATAATATTTTTGCTTGCAAGTTTCGTGACAGGTGAAAATTAATAATTACTGAAAAGCTATAGGGAAAAATTAATTTTCCTCCCCGTAGATCCGAGCCTGCATTTTCCAACTGACAAAACAAATATTCTTCACGAAAATAATAAAAGGGTAACTACTATTTTAAATATTTTCCAGTAAAAAAACAAATTGTATCTCATACTGTCCATATAAGGCTCCTTACCATAAGACAGTAATATCGGCGGCAAAGAAGAAATGTTGCGGGGGTTCAGTCGATGTCGAGCTTCTTGAATGAGCCTTCGACGCCGAAGAGGTCTCCAGCGCTGCGCGCGCGCCCCGGCCTCCTCGACTCCTCCACCCGGCGTTGCTCCTCGGCGGCGAAGTAGGGGGCGTTCGCCAGCAGGCGCGGCAGCGTCCGCTCTGCAACACAGAGGCACACGTCCAGGAAAGGTTAAAGGAGGCATTTGATGCGAAGCATGTAGGCAGCTGATATATTTTAGCCGGTACCTGACGGAAATAACTTAAATCTTCCAAAGAAATTATATATTATTCATTTCATTGCAAATTGTAATATGGTGACAATTGAACACCTGATATCTCGACACTCTGGGAAAGTGAGTTTTATTTTCTCAGGAGCGCGCTTTAGATTGTACATTAATGGTGACATGATCTTGTTAATAACATTCGTTTCCGTAATGCCACAGAATTTGTTATTAGAATTATTAATCAGGAGTCATCCTTACCGTACAACGTCATGTATGATGGTGCCGTTCCTCCGTAATTTTCGGGCAGTATATCCTTTGGTACATACTTGTAAAGTTGCTCCACGTTGTCCACCTTGTAGAGACGTAACTGCATGGTCAGAATTAATTCATATTTAAAACCAGTCTTCGTACATTCAGTTGTGTCTAACACGCGGATACTAATTGTAAATAATATTGTGTTCGTAAATATTGCATGCATATGTTTGTTTTAAATAATTCAGCAATTAACAAATTAACTATGGAAAATTTGTTCAATATACTCTTTTCATCATGTTAGTTTGTTTTGCTTCATAACAGTAACCGTATTATTTGTATACTTTTGTCAACGTTAATGTAACGAGTTATCTATGTGTTAAATTACTCTGTCTTCACTCTCGCTATGCTTTGTAGGTTACCCTCGAGTCCCGACTTTCAAATTATTATTTTAAAATAAAGTTGCAAAATAAATATTGTATAATTAATTATTGCGTTAATGAAGTTAGTGGTCACGGACCTGATCATTGTTTGAACGAAATGTTGAATGCGCATTTACATGTTCAGGAATTTTGATGCTAATTTATAAGAGAATGATATTTTTGTGCCCCACGATATTCTCCAGGAAGCAGAAACTGCAGGCAAAGCCTTCTTCCATGCCTTCGAAAAAGTGAACTACATATGTAAATTTACTTAATTTTTGTTGAAAATGGCGAAATAATAGAAACGTTCCTAATGTAAATGAATTGTAGTAGCGAATTAAACGAACGATCAATGACAATATAATTATATGTTTGTGTTGATTTTAGTTTGCTGAAAATGGATACAAAAAGACGAGATTTACATGTTGACATGAGTAATATTTTTCATAGGACTTTACTCAATATCGTAGCATCCTGGTAATTTCAAAATTATAATTTTGACTTGTTAACAAAAACAGAGGTCAAGGAAAGGCTCTTTTTCGTTCTCGGAGAGGCAGAAAATTGCGCGCGTCTTTCCACCGAAAAGTAGCGAATTGTGATGTCCACAACGACAGCGACACTTGGACAAACCCACTCCAGTGGCCGACAGGAGTTCTAACGAAGCAACATGTTTTTCGTTGTCGGATGAAGACGAGATTATAGTGTTTCTATTGTTATTTTATTTACAGGCAACAGTAAAAACTAATAAACGTCTGAATCAGGCAATTGTATAGTATATCAAATAAATCTCTCACATAGTTTGTAGAAAAATAGAATGGTTTGTTGGCCACTTAAGAACAGAATTTGAAATGAAGTATAAATAAAAAGATAAAAATATAAATTATAGAAAGATAAAACAGATAAGTAATGTTATGTGAAGGAGGTTATATCGTCATTTTATCGTAAGGTACTTTGAAAGTTTACAAAGAAAAATATTAGAAGAAAAATATTTACTTTTATACAAAGTTTATTTTTTCTAGTTAGCAAATCATTTCAGACTTATTTATTTTACAAAGATTTTTATTTTTCAGAAAGAGTAGCAAGTGTGTTTACGAAAGAACTTACAAAGACGTAAGAAGAATTCTGTTGATTGATGCCTCAGCTATTAAAGGACGAGAAAAAAATTAGATTTCATTTTTGAATGAAAAAAGTATGACATTTTAGACATTATCGAGGGTATCAGAAAATAATTACAAATTATTGCGTTTTTTTGTATATTCTTCTTATATTCTTTTGTAATATCTTTCTTATATTCTTCTTGCACTGAACTTTAGTAATTTTTAACGCCTTTTAAAATATCACTGTAATGTGATAAAATACATATTGTGAAACTGATCTATAATGAATGTTACGAATATTTAAATCGTCTAGTCTTCGCGTCTCGTAGGCCTACCATGCAACTCTTTATAATATCGAAGAGAGAAAGTGTAGCGATAGCGGCAAAATCGCGATCAGCAGCGAATAAATCCCCGAGACAAAATCTCTGGCAGCCCTGAAAATAAACCGTTGCATGTTCGCAGATGCTGCCACATACTGTCGAGTCGGTTCGTTGGTCTCCACCTCACTCGGCCATAGCGACAAATTCCCACCAATCCGAGGGAGCCTTAAGAGTATTTTAAATTATTCGAGACGATACAGCTATGTACAAATCACCAATATAAGAGTAATGCTAAAATATACAACCAAAACTCCTCTCCACTGTTTGAACGACTGCTGATAATCTCCTTTGGACAAAAAAAAATTGGCCAAAGCTCGTGCATTTTTAATTATTCCGAAAATGACATTATTTTCTAAAACAATTGCCGAAATAAGAGGACCTATGCTACAACAGCCCTCTAATACTGTTTTACACTCCTCTCAGTCTATACGCAATGGAGAGAGAAGATGTAGTTGATCCAATTGCCCCCACCCCTCACACACATACACAGAGCTGTAGAGAGCACTTGGTTCAATGATTCAAATTTCGAGGTCGGGCTTATATTTAGATGCCATTACAGGCGGAGGATGATACTATTATTTAGGCACCATTACCTCTGTACCCCTTGCTGCGATCTTTCTACTTTTCTTTGTAAATGAAAGGTAATAAAGTATTCGTTAAGAAATTATCTCACACACGTTTAATACCTCGTACCATTTTTGAGTTAAAATACATATTTTGAAAATGTGAAGTAAAACGTTCTGAAGATTTTTAACGATTATTATAAAATATCAGTAAAAGTGTATAACGTACCATATCTTGAATTTCCTTATTCATAAAAGGCCGCATCATTGCCATAATCTTGTCCATGAAAGGTACAACATTCATGAAGTGCAGTCCTTTCAGGCGAAAAGGAAGTCCTTCCTAAAGCAGTGGCAAACAAAGTCTTTGAGGAAATGATATTTTACAAAGGAAAGTCACACAACTTAAGTTATTATAACCCGTCATGTTTTCGAAAGCAAGTTTCTTGTTCACACACGTAGAAACAAGTCAACGTAAAATTAAACTGAATTTTACACTTCTTGTTCCACGACTTTTACACCTCTATAGAAATTGGTCGAAAGTGTCAAACAACAACAAAATATTTGACGAATTTACCTTGCGAATCGGCGCTCACCTGCAGAAAGTAGAAGAACTTTTTGTACGTGATGATGCTGAGGCGAGCTACGTGCCCCAGGTTGATGCCGTCCATGTCCATAATGATGATGTGACCCGGCGCGGTGCCCTCTTCTAGCAGCAAGAGGTCCATCAGCATGAAGAACACCTTCACGACGTCGTGGTGCACGAAGTGAGACGGATCCTGGTCCACCATGCGGCAGAATATAACTGTGTAGCCCTCTGGAGTCTTTTTGGGCAGCTTGGACATGCATCTGTAATGATATTGAACAGAAAACACCCTTATGTATGTTTTAAAATGTAGTTTCCTGAGTGAAATGCAATGCACTCAATATACTGGAGAGCGATTTCAGGTTAATAAAAATACACCATCGTATCCTCCGACCAACAAATGTTTCCTACATTTTGCTGATACACGCTTCGTTTCTGCTCGGCTGTTTCTTGACTATTTCTCTTTATCTAAATCATTGAGAAGGTTGTTGTAAGTTGAGTCGTAACGCTGAGGATATTTATAAGTATTGTCGAATAAAAAATATTTGTTTTGTTCCATTAAAAAAAATTACAGGATTGAGGTGCAAATTATGACAGCGCTGTTTCACTCGCGCCCCCTCCCGGTTTTTAGGCCGTCAGCCAGCCTCACAATTACATTTTTCGGTCAAAGATCCCCGTCTCGATCAGGATTTTCGTGCATTTTTCAAGAATCAATTGAAGAAATGCTGAGATAACCCATTGTTTTATTTCTCGGTGTAAATGTAGCTGGTACATGTTTTGTTGAGCTCTTCTTCTGATAGTTGGATAGGAGTAGACTGCTCTCCGGGTTAGCTCATTGGTCAGTGTACTCGCTTTCCATGACGCGGCCCAGCTTCGATCCCCGGTCGGGCAAGATTATATTGTTTTCCATGCAATGCCGAGTATATGTTGCTGTGTGACGATAAGAAAACTCACTTCTCAGGTTGAGAAGACCAGAATACGACGAGGGAATGTCTTCGTGCTAACCGCACGTACCCACTTCACCCATGGCCGTGAGGGCGGGACGCTGCTGGTATTGTGGCGTCTTGCCGGGGCAATAAATTACAGACGTGAACGGCTTGTAAATATTTAGTATTTATTAGAAATAAAATACTCGGCACCATAATAACTATATACATATTTACAATAAATGACCGTTACAAGAAGGAAACTTTCCCTGGTTACCACCACCCGCTGGCCCGAAATTAATTACCATGTTCGGTGTGATGCAACCAGTACCTTACGCGAGCATACCAGCGAGTATGCCGCACCTACGTCACGACATAGCACGCCGGCTTCGGTTGTCCCGCCTTCGTCGCCTATTGCATACAATGCAACGCCGCGCACAACCCAACGAACGCCTTACCGAGCGCCCAAGAATCAAGATGAACAGAAGGATCGAGCTAGGTAGGGATCCGCTTATATACCCTTTCTGGGCAGGACTGAGCGGCACTGGCGTCACCCGCAGTGTCCGCCGACGCGTTTTCCGCCGGGTCCGGGGTCTCCACGTTGCCTCCTACGAACTTCCCTTGCTCACCTAGCCTATGTGCAGCTCAGCGTCTTTCCGCAGCGCTGTCCACGTGGCTGATATAGTACGTTTGTACTGGCGACAGATATGACGCCACAGTATGCTATGGCGCGTACGCGGGCTGTCACGCCAAGTACAGACAGTCAAGAAGGAGTAGAATCGGAGATATGATTCATATTTTGTTAGCAATACTGTAAAACAAAATCTGTAGTTCGTTAACCGAGTTTGTTAAGTTTTCTAATACTTGCGATCGCACATTTTTAGTTTTCATATGTTGCTAACGCAGCTTTGTTGGTTCATTCATCCATCATTCAACCAGTATAGTGCGAGTAAAAGGGTAGTGTGGGAATTCTAGAGCTCAAGAAAACGTGCACTGCTTATATTTCTCCCCAATACGCCACAATTCAGTTTTTACTGTTTTTTAATCGAAAAATAAATCAAAATTTCTTTTCGTGCCTCATATCTCAAAAGATTGTACCGTATTATCCGTATTTCGCGAGTTGTGACAGAACCATGATTCCACCGTGTGATATATATACGTAAATAATTTCTCATAACACGCGTTCAATGTGAACCTGAATTCTGTCTACAATCGCTCATCTTTAAATCATGGTTCCCCTCCGTATGATCTGCTCTACCATCGTGCATTCAGTGAAAGGCAATGTTCCTACCCGCCAAGAACAAAAATTCTAATGAAGATGTAAGCCATCTGCTCACATTCGTTAATTAGCGCGACACACATCACGCATCAATTACAAGGTAATTTACTCTGAAAACCAACATGCACTCACGCAATCTTGGCCGCCTGCGCGACGTCCGGCCGCGTGGCGTCTCGGTTGCTGAAGAACTCTGGCAGGTGGGTGCGGGCCGTGAAGTAGGTGTCTGCGGTCACCTTCGCAGCCTCCACGCTGTAGTAGCAGCTGTGCAAGAACAGCGCTAATTCTCGATCTGCAAGGCCAAAATATCTCTTCTGAGGACACATCCACTAAGAGCGAAGATTTATTGGCTAATCGGGAGAAGAGCTGCCCATACCCCTTGCTTATAGAATAAGTCAAGGAAATACTTTAATTATACAATATATTGAAGGGAATAGTACTGTAAAAGGATCGTCATTTCGGTTTATAACTACACATGGAAACGAGTAAGTATTCATTTCACCGTAGCAGGTTTTTTTATAAATTTTGTTAAATATTTTGTTTTTAAATATCAAGGCGGTGTGAATACTTATGCGTTTCTATGTGTAGTAAAAAGATGAAGTGATGTTCCTTTTACAGTTTAATTCCATTTTAAATTCGTTAAAACAAGTGAGAGAGCCAGGTCGCGAGAGATCGGAAGGCCCTCGCGAACAAGCACGTGTCAAAATGCGTCGATTGTAAAACGGCGATGAACTCGAAAACGCCAATCGACGTGAAAGGTTTAGCTCACAGGCGCGTACCTTGCAGGTACCAATTTCTGTAGTGACGTATTTCTCTAGTACGTAACCATGGAGATTTATACCAACAGAGGTTGCAGTCCGCGGCCGCTATTCTCCCGAGCTACGAATTATTTACATTTTTTTTTTCAGTGGTAAAAGCAAAATCGTCATATGACTTTTCTTCACTATTGCAGGTTGGGCTAGAAAAATGCGTCGGCAAGGTGATTAAAAATTGATTTCAGTTAGGCGGGGAGATACTTCCATTATCCATGATATATTACTGAGAAATGAATTTTTCAATCACCGTAGTTTAGAAATAACCAAAGAAAGGTTATCATGGGGATACGAAGGCGCAGAGGCGTGTAAAGCGCTGCCATCCGATAGATTCCATGTCCACATTAGCATCCTGAATTTTACCTCCGTAATGATGTGTCCATTAGGAGGAACTTAAGACGCCAGGTACATGACTGGGCGAGGTGGCTCAGGGCATCAGTTGATGTGGAGGAGAATTCCAGCGACCGGCTGCTCAGATCGGTAGTTTCCCATAATTTCTCTGATCAACACCAGGCGAAAGACGAAGTACCTTAAGAAACTGACCGCGGTCCGCGCAGCACACAATACACGTAGCAGTGCACACAACGCATTTTTGTAAAGAATGTTGGTTATTGTGTTTTGGCACGGAGCCAAAGGGTAGATGAATACATCAGCAGACTAAGCAGGTGGTTAGAACCTCCAATATTTTTTAAACAAAATCTTATGATTATTTTGAAATAGTTAAAATATTGGAATATTAATATTTTTAAATTGTAGAAATTATAGTTTGTTTTCTTATTCGTTTATATACTCAATATTCCAATACTTTTAGAGCGTTCTTAAGTTTGGACTTGTCACGAGCAGTTTAAGGTATTAATGTTCTGCATGTTCGTATTGCCTCAACATTGAGTCGTGAGAGGATAAGATTCTGCACTGGTAAGGCTGAGGGTGTTTAGAGCATTCGGAGCCATTTAGCATCATAGGTGGGGTTCTTTGAGCGAACTCTAAGCTATCAGAGCACTAATTCATGAATGTATTTGAATCTTGTAATGGAGAATATTAAATAATAAACATTTTTGCCAATTATAGGGAGTTATCGACTACGTTTTCTGTAGTGAAATACATTAAAAACAATAGCAGTGACCATACGTTACTTTTTACTTTCGTATTTGCTACCCAGTTGCTTTCTGGAAAGTAAGTACTGGCGTGCTTGAGTAACGAGGACATACAAGATGGACACCTGATGTAGTACATAAATAAAGGAATCGGTATTGTCGGTGTAAGGAAAAGGTATCGGTATAAGGGAATACATCGGTTGAGACATTCAGTGGCGGGGCATCGAAGCTCATTACCATTTGTAGACCAGCGATGTACGTTATTGCATAGCCTACATCACGCTGGAATATAATTTTCAAAGCTAATCTAATTTTCATTGGGTATATTTTTCTCAAAATTTTCACCAGCAGAATATGCCAAAAATTAGCTCCCAGATGAATGTATTTTGAACAGTATACTTCATACTAATATATTTCCTGGTCCCCCTGATCTGAGGCCACATGAAATTGAAACTTTACGACGTACATACAATGTCGCATGAAAGTTAAAAAAAAAATCCTTGGCCGATATTCGAATCCGCAATCCTTCGGATTAAAAGCAATGAACCGATACGCACTCTATCCACCAGCCGTTAAATTTAGAAGTTACCGATTCGGACTACAGGGTCGCTGTAGTTCGTATTGGAGTTATTTCGTGAGGCAGTGCAATAGCGCACATTTCATGCTTTGGTTGCGGGTTCTTTCATTCTTGTTAGAGAATGAAAATACCTTGAGATATTTATTGATACGTAATTTTTGGATAATTACGTTGTGATATTAGGTCGCAGAAAATATTTTGTGTTTTCTGTCAATACCGAGCAAACTGTAGTGATGAAACGTGTTTTGTTAGCGTGTGAGTGTTTCACTTTGAATAACTTTGTGTCCATTAATGTGGTAAAATAATTGGTTAACTGAGAAGACAAAAGAGTACAATTTATTTATGATCCCATCGAGTGCAGGCTCATACATCTGAAGTTTAAAAGGTTAGTAGTCTTCAAATTAATACTATGTCGAGATGAAATGAATTTTGTTGAGCTGCATTTCAATTTATATAAGCAACGGTTATTCTCTTTTGTTCTTAATTTTTTACTCTATTGAGATGTTTGTTTTCTCATTGCAATGAAAAATTCAACTTAAACATCTTATTTTGATTACATTATGCATTCAAGAACTGCTAGCTTAAGTTACACATCTGACGTAGGTACCTCAAAATGAAGGTATCTGAAGTACCACTTTCTTGTGCAAATTTCAGTGTATTTTAAATTGCTACTATATCCATTCAAATAATCTTTAAAGTAGGGTACACGGTACACCCTCAGAGAAGCGTGGTGGGAGGGGTCTCCTTAACCTCTCCCTCAAATTATGCTCTGATAGAAATTACGGATACGATATTTTCTTGTCATGCCCTTCATACGCTTTGTCCCCGCCGCATTGTAATGTCAATTTGCTTTCAAAGTCGTTTTCCCGCTTCGCTCGCCCGGATCCAAGTCGCGGCGAGGCTCGGGCCTTCGGTCCTCGCGTTCACTATAAACATCCTTGAGTCTATCCACCGCATAATTATCAATGCACTTTTATCAGAAAGCACTATTCAAGAAAGCCTCCAGAATTCCCACTGCCTGGTTAACGCCGGAGCTGCTCGAAGTGCGGTTTAAGTGTCTTCCTAAAGTTGTACCGTAGAATGATGTGCGTAAATACCTCGTAGAGCACTTACTGGACAGATATTAACATGTACTCTTAAAATAATAGAAGGTGAGATATGCATTTAAACTTTGCAAGTGGTTTCTTAAAGTATTGTCTGAAATGAAAAGAGGAAACTAAAATATCATAGTTTTTTACTTTTGTTTAGTGGGCATTCTCGTTACATGACCCTTAACCAACTTCATTGGTATGAATGACTATTAAAATATTGTTTTTAGAGTTTTCAGATAGATATCAGGATATTTTTCATTACTTTCTAATAAAGAAGTTCATATTTTCTACTTACTGACTGAATAATTATTACTATAAGAATATTTTCTAGAAAACTTTCCCTCATTAATTAATACGTGCTGAAAGACTGACGTGCTGTATCTGGAGGTCAGTTCTTTCAAGCATTCATCGAACATTTTAAATGTATCACAATACATGCCTGTGCATACTATAAATCAGAAGCAATTTCATGTTCGGTAGTTTGATGTACAAGCTCTGTTTTGCCCAAATTTGATATTCTCGTTTTGCTTTGGGTACCAATTTGTTTCGAACTAGGGAAGAGAGTGTCGACATAATTAGTTGAAACTTTACGTTTGTGAACCATTCGCCCGGTCCAAACCACGAGGACCTCGACGCCTCGCTCGGCTTGACTCCTGTGTGGGAACTTCAGCACAAATAACCGTTGACAAGTGACGATTTCACACATACGCGGTATGCGGCGTACGGACCCCTCCAACCCTACGCACAGCGTCTCACTGCTTTCGACCGGAAACTCTAACCTACAGACTAGGTATTACTCGGGCAATTTTTCTTGAACGATGACCTTGCTTCCCCCTCTCTGGCACAATAAGTAGTTGAAGGCAAAAGCTCGCAGCGAGCACTGGTGACAACATTCCACACAGATCTTTTACTGGCGCAAAATATAAACTATTTTCTGTTTAAGACGAGAACTCGCTGTCCGTGTTTTTGTTCAAAATTCTAAAGAAATGACCGAAGCAGGTGAAGGTACATCACAGGAGATACCTCGAACTCCTGACAAAGTTTGAACGCAAATTATTGAGAAAGTTGCCAAGGCATGACTGATTTTCCAGAGATTGGCATTGCTTCATAAAATCTATTGTCTGATTACGTGACTAATACCCCCACTCTACTCGCATTTCTTCAATCCATCGTTCAAGAAAAAATGCGCGAGTAATTTTCAAACCTCTTTGAATCGCTACATAAAATAAAAATTACGCATTATTATCTTGGGGTTTTTATTTCTTGGCGCGTGAGGATCTGTCTTGACGATGCAATATCTCACGGTATTTCGCACGTTTCTCTGTCGTGCCGCTAGATGTCGCATGATCGCCAGCACCGCTCGATACGGACGCGATCATGCGACATTAGCGGCACGATAGAGAAATATGGGAAATACTGTGAGATATTCCATCGTGAAGACAGGCCCTCATTCGTCAAGAAATAAAAACTCTAGTATAGGAAATATTTATTTCGTCTCGTGCTCAGCCTTCGAAGAAGCGATGTTCGGAAGTGCGTTTGTAGATAAGAACAAGAGAGGTATCACATGAGGTCTCTCATTGTTGGTATCATCCATTAAACTTAAAAAGATGCTCATCAGAAGATACAATACATAGAAATGTATGACTGTTGTATGTGCATTAATGTTACACTGGCTTGGTTATGATGCCCCAGCATTCGAAACTTTGGGTGCAGAAATG